GAATTCAGCCACAAAGTCTTTGCATGGAGGCATAGTAAACGTATTACCAGCATTTTGCTTGAAGAACACATTAGTTTGAGCAGGCTGAATAGAGTTATCGAGACCCAAACGAGCCACTGCCATCTGCAGAATCGAAAGAATGTCATTGGGAGAAGACTGGCCTGCACTAGATGAATGTACAGACCCACCGCTTGAACCACCAGCAGCAGACAGGCTGGAGAGAGCATCCAGCGGGGGGGCAGGCTGCATGGCAGGATCCACCAACTCTTCATCAAGGAAATGTGAATTAGATGCACTCATGGATAAAACGTCTAAATTGATAGTATTTGGGGGTTGGAAATCAATCTCGTTCACTGAAGTGTTCTCCGTAGGCGCGGCTGATACCACGGGTTGTAAAGACTGAAGAAGACGTTTCATCTCTGCCATCTCTGAAGAGAGAGTAGCAACAGTCTTCGATAGCGAAGTTTCTGTCTGCGGCGATGATTTCTTTTTGGTTGGCGGAGCGCCAGCAGCCGCTGATGTGCGACGTTTTTGAGAGCGCCGTGGCGCTGAATACGACTGCGCGAGGCTAGCAGATGAGTTAGGATCTAGCTCTGCAAGACGAAGCTGTCTTTCTGACAGCGGCAGCATGGCACAATGTAAACACGGATCAGTCAACGCTTCCTTCAGATGCTGTATCCCCAAACACGACGGGCAGCGATCGTGTCCGTCGTCAGGAAGAAGTGTGTTTGGGCACATTTTGCAGCTCGGTGGAGAGACGGAGATATGAGACCTGTGAGCCATGACTCCGTCAAGACACGTCCTCGGTAGCACCGTAGGAACTCAAAACTAATATAACACGTGATAAATTCTTCGGATAGAACCGAAAGATTTAACGTTATAAAGGAGAGAAATTATACGTGAGTTATCAGAACTGCCTTCGGGTAGTACCGAGGGGCAACGAGAGTTTACAACGACGGTGAGTAGGCGACGAAAACAATGATAAATAGGTCAGCGGGGAAACGCTACCTAAGTGCGGTCGAAACCAGCCACCGGATAGTACCGTGAAGCACAGGGTATCGCCGACACAACAAATGAAATAATGTACACTCACATAATGAAGAAAGGGAATCCAAAATATCCTATGATAGTGCAGAGCGCGCTGTCACAGCTTGGGAGGGCGAATCCTCGCAACTCAGGTAAGCTGCATGGGACAGCGCTAACCAACGACCTATCATAAGCGAGAAAGCGAAAAGAGGCTGGGCATTGAGCTGCTGTGGTTTATATCCTCGCATCTCGGTCTACGTCATGACGTGACCCTGTTGGTATTTCCTTCTTGACCTATCTAGCTGGCGCAGCGATTAGCCATTAGTGCTTAGCACCGCCTCTGGCGGTCAGGAGGAATGAAACAGAACCCAAAAAAACAAAAACAAAAACAAAAGATGCGAATACAGCCCGACGATCCTCCCAAACAGCCCGAGCAGCCGGGAGGATAAGCTAAACCATATACACACACAAAAAACCGAAAACTAATAAAAAATAAAGACGTATATGAACACAAAACAAGAATACACACAAAAAAGTTTGGTGAGCCTTTCTCACCCACTGCAGCCAACCTATTTCCTGTACGCTCTCTAGCGCTCTCAGAGTGGGATGGCTGTAAGTGAGAGCTGGCTCCAAAAGGTGTCTACTTAAATAGTGTAAGATTGATTGCTTGCTTGCTTGCTTGCTTGCTTTATTTATTTATTTATTTATTT